GATTTCATTTCCTTCACCAAAAAAAAATTTTTTTTTAAGGTTGCAGGCAATTATATACTTGACTTAGTACACTTTTGCCTTGCAGTTGATTTAATTTTGCTGTATTTGTAAATCAATGAGAGCACCTGTGAAATAAGAACAGGCACATCATTTTCGTTTTTGATGCTTTTATTCACAAGAAACTATCGTCAACCACGCTCCTCTTCACGATGTAAGTAAACATCGAATATTAGCTGTCAAAAAATGAAAACTTAATATGAGATTCGGTTGAAACAAAAGACAATTCTAAGAAAACGTAAGTAAACAAAGGCGCCCGACCAATAGAAACGTTGGTTGTTTGAAAAATATGACCAATCTGCATATCATAAGATTCGCGATTATGATCAAAGTGCAGTTTTGCAGTGCCGTAAGAACGGAATCAACAATATTTTATAGAGACACTAAAAATATCCTTACGATATGACAATGTTTTATTTAATTGACAGTTTGGCATAATAAGATTTGTAATACGGTAGCCTCGCGTGATCCGAAAAATACTGGTCGACCATTGAACGTAGCAAAACATTGTGGAGAATGCTTGAGAATCAACAACGTCTTTTGCAGTAAATTTGCATTTCTGCGGGAATGAAAAAAGCAGCAACACCGCAAGATTTTGCAAAAAAAAGCGGTGGTAGTAATTAAACACCAATGCTCGAATAAAAGTTAAAATGCTGACCACAGCACGATTTGTGCCGAATGAGAAATAGTTTAGTATATGATTGCTGGAAACATAACATCGATCGCCTGATCTGGTGAATCTTACAGCCCACGCAGTAATACAAAGAAGAAACTCGAGCAAATAATGCTATTAAGAAAAGGTTAGGTAGAGGTAGTTTGACAGCCTCACAATCAGCTAGCAAAAAACATTGCAGAATCCAAGACACCAATCTTGACAACAACTTTACCTTCAGACCATCAAAGAGATCTTCGCTCGATCCATTCGCAGTTAAGCCTTCTTTTCCACGTCTTCTTGTCGCACCTACTTCTGTGGACATTTCCCAAGGAGATTATCTCCTATGTGAGGTCGATTTTCACCACAAGCGCTGGAAGTTGAGCTCCATCAAAGGTGAACTTTATAGCGGCTAGGTTTTGATCAGTTGTCTTTCAATGGCGAGGTGCATGGCTCGCTAAGATCTCTGGGAGCTAGGGCTTGCCTCTGAAGGAGCCAAACTGGTGGCGAAACCGCCTCGATCTGAGGGTACTTTGTTTATAAGTAAACAATGATAAAGAGTCCTCATAGAAAGGTGCAACTGTAAATTAAAAGTTTTCATTTCATTTGAAAATTGAAGCTGCCTTACAGATTTGAATTAATTCAGCCAGAATTTTTTTTTCATTTGTTGTTTTTTTTTTATCACAGGCTTGAATTGATTGTAATCGGCGTAAGTAATAATTCTCAGCCATTATCTACATCTATATCTATCCTATTCCCAGGTCTTCCTCTACATTTTTCTAATATCAACAGCGCTTTTGAAAAAGGCATGGAAACCCTTTTTTTTTTCCAGAAAACTTGGCATCTCCAACAGAAAGGACAATATGTCTTTTTTATTCTTTGACTGTTGCAGAAGCTTAGCATTTAGAGATGCGATTCAGAAATTTTGCCCATTTCCGGTTTTTTTTTTTTTGGTGGCCTGAAGGTCGAGTCTCTTTGCTCTGAAAAAAATATTGTGCATGTCTTTCAATTCATGCGGTCAAAATATTATGTCATACGGGCTGATGAAGAAGGGTTTTGCTCCAGATTCTGGGATGCAAGATAGCGACCTGTGAGAAAGTCCGCATTGCAGGGAGATATTGTGGAGACCGTCAATAGGCCGGTCATGGCTGTGCACGGCAACTTCTGAGCAACTTCTGGCGTTTCGAATTTTTGTATTTCTGAGCAATTTTTGCGCACAATATTGCTTTAGAGCACAAATTTAGCACGGAAAGTCAACGATTTATTCAAATTTCTCAAATTTTTATCAACCCTTTGAACACATAGCCTGTCACCCTCGACGAGCTTTGCTTAAGAAAAAAATTCTCACCAGGGAAGTGTAAAATGATCCATAGGCTTGTCAAAGTAAAGCGAGAGGACTCAATTAGCAAGTGAAAGAGATGTGTTCGCCTTCAAACGTGAAATTAATTTAAATTGACAGTTAAAATGTAAACTGGCGCGAGGATCCGCGCGGCTTGCGCGTTATGAGTGCTACGTAAATTTAGGACCCTTTCGCACATTTTTCTCTTTGGAAATAACCACGCAATCATAGCATGAATGGCAATTTCCACAAATGCGGTATCCACAAAAAGAGGTTATCGTTTTTTCTATAAGGTAAGGTTTTAACTGTGTATTACTTCGCGATAAAGAAATTCTACTCGCTGGCCGGCTGACCAATTTGGCGTTAAGGTAAGGTTGTGTGCCTGATGATTTCTGTCTAGAGCGATACAATAACGCACGATAAATCTCGCCCATATTTGCGAGCAGTTTTCTTGACTGATGCCAGTAGTTATACTGAAAAAACGAAAAATAAAACATTTAATCAACAGTTCATATAAAAATATCAAGAAATTCGGGTCGCAACTGTTTGAATTTTTGTTAATTTTTTAGCATTTACCAGCATTTTACGGGCACAATCGGGACAGGCCTAACCGTCAAACGTCTTCGCATGTGCGGAAGTTGTTGTGGCTAGGGTCGTCGCTCGGATCGTGGCCTGGTGAATGGACTGCTTTCTGGCTGCCAGAACTAACTTGTTTTACAGGAATAATAGAAAACCATGCAAGCCAGGAAGTCACGGTGTTTCAAAAGCATCTAACCTTTTTGATAGAGCTCAAACGAAATGGTAAATTGACAGGTTACAGGTAGTCGGATGGGATTTATGTTCGAGAAGACTCAAGTTTTCCTTTTACTTACTTTTGTTACTTTCAAAGATTCCTATGGACGTTTCCATTTTTTTCACACAGTCTTAATTATAACCTGCACATGAACCTATTTTCGAAAAAATGTTGTTTCAAAAATCGAAACGCCAGTACACTTCATATGTAAAAGTCATAGCCGAAAATAAAATGGCAAATATATAACATCTGTCTTTATCAGTTTGACAGCCGCACTCAAACTTGAAAAATCTCAAAAATATTTGTATAGGATGCTTTACACATTTTTCTTATTTCCGATTAACTTTCGGCCTTTTCAGACGGTCAGTCAAGTTTATTGTTATTTTTTGGCAGCACAGTACTCTATATGACACGAATACCAAAATCACCGGCAGGTGTATAACTTATGATATACACACGACTTCAAACTGATTAAATGGTTCACAGTCGATTGTCCACTTAGCAATATTTAGTTTATAACAACTGTATTGGACTGACAGCTCATATCGCAGGAAACAGGGGAGAAAAGGTTTGTTTTACTACGTAGAATTGGACACGATTTCAAAATAAATATAAATTATCGACGATTATAGCTTATAATGATCCCTCGTATGTAAAATGTTATTCTGCTCTCAGATAAATTTCCTCGTCATCATAATATTAACCGAATCTTGATAACTCAAACCCTCGATATTTCGAACCTCGCGCTAACTCGAACCAAATTCGATTTCCCCCAGATTTCCGCCATACAATGACAGTAATTTTTTTCCTTCGTACCCCGAACCCTCGATGCTTAGTGCTAATGAAAAATATTTTTCCTTGTAAGTTCCACAAGTTCCAGAGATTCCGCGCGTCCACAGTCAATAATTTCATAGACTGATCTTGGCCCAATTGGACTATTTTTAAGGAGTCTGTGATTGCCCTACTCAACCTAGGTTAACATATATTCGCTGTGCATTAAGGCAGTTCGGGTAAACAAAATATTCAGTTGTTTACGGTGCCTTAAATATTCTTTTAAAATCTCAAGTGACTAAATGTTGCCGGCCAAAGCTTCAGATAATTTTACCAGTTTTTCCCAGTCACTGCCCATTGTCCAATGTCCAACATCAACACATGCTCTTAAAATGAAAGTCAAACAATGTTACTATGTTTTATTGTTTGCCTGATATTGCCTATCCGCTCTCAATGAGCTAATCCCTTCAAATTTATTTCCTTTACGTCACTAACACTCATACTTTAGGTCTACCTGCGCACGAAAGCAATGAACTGTGAGAGGATAATTTTACGGAAAGAACCAAAAATCTCCGGGATTAAAATTGGAAGTTTATCGGAGTTGCTTGAGGTCTAGTTCATCCCCGGAGCCACCAACAAAAGTAAGTCACGCTTCCAGAATGAATAACTGTCAAATTTTAGGTTTTCTTTCGGCTTATATACGATAAAATCGCATGATCTTGCTAGATATGACACATCCTAGCTCTCGTTCTTATATATGCTTCAATAGACGGGTTCGCCTTTTGTGTTTAGATATGTCTTGTCTCCCAAATCAGATTTTTCAGATAGTTAAATTTGGTCTATTCGGGCATCCTTTCGTGAACTCAGCTATATGTGACAAATCGCACAGTTGTTACTACCAAACTGAACTCTATTGGGTGGCAACGGGGATGTAAACAAGCTAGCTGACCTAGCGAACTCTAACCTGTGATCAGGCGTTCTTTCCTTCTAGCATATCTATTTCGCTCCCCAAAAATATAGAACGCCTGGTCGCCTGTTAGGCGAATCCCAGCTCACAGCACTCTTTATTAACGTGACTTGGAAAACGTTTCTGTTTAGAAAATCTTTAGATTGGAATTTACCTTGAGGACGGATTTTACACAAAATTAGTTATCGAGAATTGTGACAACTAAAATTAAACCATCGTTTTTCATAATCGCAACGTAGAAGCAACAGACATGCCGACCATTACATCATGATATGATTCTGATCATGTATATCCTTGTCAGTAGTTTGTTACGAAAGCAAATCTCCACTTTTTTTCATTTGTATTTAGCTGTTTCTTTCTTTCACGCTCAGGTGATTTGATAAACGCGCTACAAGTCGATACAAGTATTTTAGGCAACACAATGGCTTCATTCATCAGCGACGGTACTCAAAATAAAGCCAGCGATGAGGTGTGGATGCGGGCTCCGGCGTCACAATGTATCCCTTGGCTTGTTGTAATCAGCGTCGAGTCTTTGGTCATAACCGTCCTTAATATCATCACCATTATTGTATTTGTGAAGCAGCGCCGGCTACAGCGGCGGAGTACATACTTGATCATCCATCTGGCGGTAGTCGATCTCTTAGTTGGTGTTTCGGGACCTGCTTGGATTGCCAGATTGGGAGGTACCTGGTGTGATCTGTGGGGTGACAACAGTCCGACTGATGAAGAATCATGGATGAGAATACAAAAAGTTTTCGAGTCGATATTCTTGTTAGTGTCTCTTTGTAATCTCTCCGTTATTTCTTTAGAACGAGTTAACGCCACATTTTTTCCATTCAGGCATCGCTTTGTAAAAAACTGGGTTTATGGAGTGGTAATAGCAGTAACTTGGATTGTACCTTTAGCACTAAGAGCAACACAAATAGCAAGCCGTAATTTCAGTCTTAATTTCGATTTTATCGTCATACTTTCATACTTTGCAGTTCAACTATTTGTGATTTGTCTTTCCTATCTTTCTATCTATATTAAAGTTCGTTTCAATCGTCATCCTCAACAGCATGGTGCAGCCGGTCTGAGGGAAAGAAAATTGACGAGTACATTGTTTCTTGTCACTCTTGGATCATTGTTCACTATTCTGCCCACTATAATAAGATTAAGTATCATTGTGTTTGATTTCCAGTTCTTCACGAGCCTTTCAAGGCGATCAACTATGAACTTTCTCCTCATAACCGTTACTTTCTTGTTTACGAACTCGCTAATAAATCCCATAATTTATGCCATAAGGATGCCGGAATTGAGGGAGGGAATTTTACGTATAATATTCCGCAGGAGTTCAAAGCGCTCAAGTAAAGACAAGGATGTTTTGCCTCAGCAAAATCTGTAGTTATTTACCTGTCTTGTAAATACAACACAATTTAGAATTGTTAAATAAAAAGTCTTTCCATTTCTTAAAAACAGCCTGATGATGTTGTTTTAAGTGTAGATGTAAAATTCATCTTAAAATTTCAATTTGGAGGGGAGAGAGTGGGGACGTCCATCTGAGTTAAAAAGAGGAGATATTGTTTACGTCAATTTCTTTCATGACGAGAGTAGTATATGTACGTGGTTAATTGTACGTTTTTTGTCAGTAGAGTTTAATAACAACATGCAGTTTTGTCATGAAGGTAAAAGTAACAAATATTGCACAAGTATTTCTAATATTGTGCGCAATTTTGCAAACTTTTAGATGATGTTTTCAATCGATAAAGAAGCCACAGGTGTGCTGTCGTGTTGCAAGACGCAAAATGGTTGGATGACGGAAGAAGTTTAAGGGAGAACATTAAACACAGTATTTCTCCCTAGCTCTTCGGTGCTTTACCGCCTCCTAGTACTATAGAATAGGACAGAACACAATTTGTGTTATGATAGAATTCAGTAATTTTCCCATTCATCCGGCTCGTATCTCCAAAACAAATTTTATCAAAACAGGGAGGGAAAATTGGTTCAGCGTGAATCTTTAATTTCGTGAAGCTTCCTTAAATAAGCTTATCACAATCACTGTTATAATGGTTTAATTAATTTGATAGGCCAACATTACAAAAACTGTCAATCACAAACGAGCAGTCAGCAAAAGTTTCCGGTTCTAGTAAAGAACGATTACTTCGAAATTCGAAAGGAATCTTCTGGTTGATAGCAAAGTTGCCATTCGGGAGCCATTGATCAAACAAAATTTGTTTCTTTTTCAGTACGTCTCTAAGAACTCCCTTCAATCAAGTAAAACATCCAATATTTCATCCCATCGAACTCTTGACCTCTTATAGCCTCCCGCACCAAGGGCTTGTTAGCGTCCGCTGGTAGAAACGCGTGACGAAGCTTGGGTGGGAGGCTAAACCTTCGACGAAAGTACCATTATTGATGTCATCTAGCTTATCATTTCATATTTGTTTCCAGGGCAAGTAAAAGATCACAGGCAGCCGCTGAGAACTCAAAGTAGAAACAAGCAAATTGTCTGAGGCGCGCGAATTCGCGAATGACTAAGTCGTAATTGGTTGAAGTTTGGCGCCTGCTTGGTCAAGAGGTTTGCGCGATTTTTTTTGACTGATCACAGAGCGCAGCAAGGTAAAACAGAAGGAAAACAGGACCAGTTACGCGGCGTCTGGAGCTAAAATAAAAAAAAACTTTTTTCGTTTATTCGCTATACATCCCTAGACTTTGATTTTAAGTGTTTTGGACTATCTGAAAGAAAACAGAGCGCAGTCAAAATGTTTCAAGACCGATAAACAATAAAGACGAAATGACATCATTAATTCTGTAGTTTTTAAATCACGTTGTTTACGGCTTTATTTTATCTCAAAGCCCTTATATGGTCAATTGTTTTGCGCGGCGTTTCGGACCGGAAACATTCCTCTTCTATTCTTAGACATAGCTTCAATGCACTGAAGTGCTGTCGCATGACTTCCCTGATGTCAACAAGTGTCACTTTCAATTCACAATATCAGTACACAATCCTCACGTGGACTTTGCTAAAGTTTACGGAATTAGAGAGATTCTTCTGTAACCCATCATTCTGTTCTTAACACAAATTTCAAATGTATATTACGCTAGCTTGTTTAAATTTACGTGCCACAATCTTTCAAATTTTTATTATATTTACTTAGTATGCTTGGGTCTCAAATTGCCTTTTTTGGGAATGATGCCGAAAATAACCTAACGTTGTTGCCTTGCAAATTTTCGGACGTCATCAAGATCAAGTTGCTGCCACCTCTTCCTGCAATTATTCTTCATAGGGATAAAAGCACTTTGAAATCCAAACAGGAAGCTGTGTTGAAAGGTCTCGGCTGGAACTGATATGAAGGAAGAGAGTAAGTGATACGGAAAAAATCACTGAAAAGGTCAAAGGTAAAAAAGATGTAGTCTGCGCTCAAGCAAATTGGCCAATCGAACACGAGCTTATTCCGGTTTTCATAGTATGAGGCGACTATACTCCCGCTAGATAGGATGCCAGTCTGGACCTCTCTTTTAAAATTTCAGCGCGCTAACGGGTAGCCTGGGTAGAGGCAGATGGTAGGGAAAAACATAACATGTTTTGATGTGGCAAATTATCACAAACATCGAACCAAGATTAATTAAATGTAAACAACAAAGTTTCCGCATACTTGATTTTTTTATTGGTGTTATATGAGTTATTGAGCCGTTTCTACTCTCCTCCAATCAGTATTTACAGCGACGATTGCAGATTTGGGCTAAGTTGTTCAGAGAGCGGAGAAATCACTATCCAGCTGATAAGAGTTAATAAATGATTTTTGCGCTATCCACCTGACAAAGATTTATTCAGCGGATAGCGTTATCCAGCCTTTGAACAGGTGGGGCCAGAGGTGGGGGGTGGGGGGGGGGAGGGGATTTTTGAAGCAGCTAAGACGGTAGAGTACCTGCTTGATCATCAATCTAGCGATAGTCGATCTCCTTAGCTGGGTTCACGGGGATTTTTCGGAAACTCTTAGTGTGATCTGTGGGAGCTCAATAAGCCGACGAATATTATATTATGAATTAGAATACAACCGGAATTAGTATAACAGTTTCTTTTTCAACTAGTGTCCCTTTTTAACTCGTGAATTGTGCGCATGCGCAAGAGCGAGTTGTAGATATGATGTGGAGAATAGCACTCGCTCGCTCGCTCTATTGGTCGATTCCTGTAAACTTTTTTTCGATTTTAGGCTTTTGAGTACATTTGATAGTTTTTGACGAGCAATAAACAGACGAAATGGCGACCTTTGTTGCTAAGAATAGTGGTGGGGTGAAAAAGAAGCCAATGATAATCTTAAAAGAGTTCTTTTTTTCGTTTTAGTTTCAACAAGCGGCGCCAGCGACTGGCAGGCATGCAAGGATTCACACTTAAATAACAGAACAACCTTCGCTTTTCATAAAATTGTAATTTACAATCCTTGAACTTGAAAACAATTCGAAGATTCATTGAAAATATCACTTCCTGCGAAGCGCTCGGAGTTTACAGATGTTCAAAAGCTTTTTCTGTTATGGCGTGAGATTGAGGACAAAATCGATGATTACGTTTCGTATGTGTTTTTCCTTTGTGAAGTATGGCAGTCTTGGCTTAGCTATATCGCTCAAAACTCGTTCCCGTTTGTCTCATTTGATAAAGAGGGAATCGTTAATGTTTTCACTAAGACAGTATTGCCTTGGTTTTCTAATATTTACAATGATAGACAGTGAATTTCACTTTTTACCCACATTTACTTCCAACCTTTTCTTTTGAACCAGAAACAAAAATGATATACGTTTAAAACACATGACATCGTCCACCCTTGTCAAATGTAATAGCATGATCATTTCAGTTGTAATTCCTTCTTATCCCAGCGTTACTTTGTTTCTTTGCTACGAACACTGAACTACTGCTCGTACTCTAGATATGACAATCAACCACAAAATTCCCTAAACCAGCTAACATTAAACATAATCCAAAAAATCATGTGTCAATTCACGAGTTTGCTCACAGAGCACTTTGATCAATCTCTCGATTATTTCTTTGGAACTAGCGCAGGCATCCTTTCGTCCTTCCAAGCATCGTTTTATAAAGAAATGGATGTATGGTGTGATAATAGATGTAAATTGGATATTTCCCATTGGGGTGAGGACGGCGAAACTCTAATCTACATATTCCACCCTGATTTAAATGGAAATGATATTATTGCATTGTCATACTTTGCTGTTAATCTTTTTGTGATTTTAGTTTCTTACATTTCCATTTACATCAAAGTCCTCTGTAGTCGTCATCCTCAACATCATGGTGCAGCCGATTTGAGGGAAAGAAAACTGACAATTACACTGTTTCTTGTCACCCTTGGATCACTGTTAACAATTCTGCCAACGATTATATGTACAACTGTATTCGTTTTCCATATCCAGTTACTTTTGGCTCTTTCCAGAGGAACATTTTCAACATTCTTACGACAGCTAATTTGCTATTCCTCAAGCATGAACTCGCTGATAAACCCTATAATCTATGCCATACAAATGCTTGAGTTAAGAGCAGGATTTTAAAAATAATTTTCCGCAATCCTTCAAGCCGACGCAGTCCGCTGCTGTTGTCTCCACGTAATATGAGAATAAATTAATTGATAGTAACCTAGGTTTGAGTAAATGAAAAAGATCTGACCAACTTTTGATTAGTTTAAAACGTACGTTCGTTACCAAGTTAATCTTACTGTGAAATTTGGTATAATCATCTGAGTTGATAACGTAAATTGGCCACTGTTAAGAGTTTCAAAGCCGATGTTTCGAGCGCTAGCCCTTCGTTCGGCTCTCCCACCGACATCGGTCAGAAGACTGTTATTGTTCAAAGAGATTGATAGTTTGTAATATCATGCTCTGTTAAGTGCTGAAAGATAAACAAAAATGTTCATTCGGTTACCCCTCAAATTGATGCCAAATCTGTCAAAGGAGACAGAGATATCCTAATTTTGAAATTCCTATTTGACCAGACATCTTGATGGCTTTCTTAATTCATTTCATTATTTTAGAAAATGACACCACTAAATGTGAATTTCCGTAGTTTGGACGTAGGATTGTTCCTCGCCCTGTACGTCGCCATGGTTTGTGTGACAGGTGCACGTATTTCAATCCTTGATACAAAAGTGAGAAGTTTCCTTCCCTGACAGACAATTGTTGTTCACATCAGTCGTTTACCTTACTCGAGGATACCTACGATGCGATTATTGTGATATTTTTTTGGCCTCTCGTATCCTTGTTGATGTTATTAGGGTACGTTGCATGTAGAGGTTTTTTGGTCGTCAGATCCCTAACGAAAAGAAGCAAGATAAACTCTCAAAGGGAAAGGCACGTCAAGAACGGCAACAATGATGTTGATAAAGCTGACTCTCTGGTTGCAAA